CCTCACACGTATGGCCCCGCCCCATTGGCCGCACCCTTTCTTAGCCCCGCTCCCACGCTCGTCCCTATTGGCCGCACCCTTTCTTAGCCCCGCCTTCACGCCCATCCCTATTGGCCGCACCCTTTCTTAGCCCCGCCTTCACGCTTATCCCTATTGGCCGCACCCTTTCTTAGCCCCGCCCACACGCTCCGCCCACACGCTCATCCCATTGGCCGCATCCTTTCTTAGCTCCACCCCCGCGCTCACCCCTATTGGCCGCACCCTTTCTTAACCCCGCCCGCACACTCATCCCATTGGCCGCACCCTTTCTTAGCCCCGCCCTCGCCCCGACGCCCCGCCCCTTCCTGCATTCTCACCCCCACAGCCCCGCCCCCACGCCCCATGGCCCCGCCCCTTCCTGCCGCCCACCGCAGCCCCGTAATCGCTCCGTACCCTCTCTGCCCCAGATGCGCACGGCTCGATCCCCGCCGCAGGACGCGAGCAGCGCTCCGCCGGGGCTCCAGGCCAAGAACCAGCAGCGCGCCTCGGGGTGCGCGGCCACGCGGCTCTGCAGCACCAGCGCCTCCTTCATCGCCCCTCTTTCTGTCGCTTAGCGACTGACGTCACCGCGAGCGCCGGAAGCGGAAGCGCGGCCAAGCGGCCGGAAGCGGAAGCGAGCCCGCAGCCTGAGGCGGAGCCGGCGCTGCGGGCCGGGGGGCGCGGAGCAGCATGTATAACCCGGGCGGGCCCGGGCTGCCCGGCGGGCGGCGGCGACGCGGGGCGGCGGGCGGCAGCGGGGGGCTGCCGAAGCAACCGGAACGCAGCCTGGCCTCGGCGCTGCCCGGAGCGCTGTCCATCACGGCGCTGTGCACGGCGCTGGCGGAGCCGGCCTGGCTCCGCATCCACGGCGGGACCTGCGGGCGGCAGGAGCTGGGAGTGGCCGACGTGCTGGGAGCCGTGAGGGCCGAGCTGCTGCGGGGTGAGGGCGGAACGGCGGCGGGTTGGGTCCGGTTGGGTTCCGCGCTGGGAGCGGGGGCGGCTCGGGGCTCGTTGTGAAGCCGAGCTTTGGCAGCGGGCGGCTCCGGCGGCGCCGCTCGGCGTTACGTTGGCGTTTGGTGGCGCTGAGGTCACAGCCGGGGAGTTCTGGGTCCGTTTTGCCTTGTGGCAGAACGAGAAAACG